TTTTACTATAAATAATAATTTTTAAATTTTGCTCAAACTCTTATTGTCTTATGGTTACATGATTAGGGTTGTTGATTAGGGTTGTTAAAAAGACTCTTTGTTCGTGAACAGCTCGTGTTCGGCTCGTTAAGCAAACCAGCCGAACACGAACACAATTTTTGAGCTCGAAATATAAACGAGCCGAACACGAGCTGAGCATGGCTCGTTTGCTTAGCTCAGCTTGTTTGCTTAGCTAAAAAATTGTGAGCATGACTCGCTCGTGTTCGGCTCGTTTACACCCGTGTTCGGCTCGTTTACACCCCTAATGATGGTTCTCTATGCAACACGTAAGGGATCTAAAAGATCCAGTATGATTCCTACTGATATATATTGCAGGTAATCAACAAGAACAGCCTGGTTACCGGAAGGTACTCCATGTGGGAGATGTGTAAACAAAGGGTTATTTACATACATACCACAGAATTAATATGTTTTCATATATCTAACAGCCACTCAATTCTTTAACATCAAATCAAAAAAAGATCATTTTACTACCTTTTTAAAAGTCCAATGCAACTTTTTATGAATACGTTTATAGCACCAAAGTGTTTTATATGTAATAACAGATTAAAAAAAATGAGAACATAATTGAAATGTGCCTGGAACATTGACTAAAGAAAATAAAATAGAGTTCAGTGATATAGATAATTTATGATTCAGTGGAGAAAATAAGCACTGAGGATTGCAACATAAGTTGGAGTCTTTGTGCATCATCTAACATATTAATAAATTTTACTAAAAAAGAGATTGTACTTGTTTCACATTTAATAAGATGTGCCCATTAAATCATATCTTAATGAGTTTAAATCCATTGTTAGGAATTTGAGGAATATAAATGTAATGGCAAATGATAAGGATTAAGCTTTGCTACATTTGCGCTCATTTGCTTCCCCTTAATTACATATAAACGCCAACTTAGTACATGGTAAAGACACAATATACTTAGAGGGAATTAAGAACTCGGTTCTTTGAAAATATGATTGTTTAGCTTGAAGGTTTAAGAAATGAAAAGTCATCTAAGCAATACTTGGCTAGGAGTAGACTGTTTAACAAGGGATCTAATCACCATCGTAACTTCTATTTCAAAAAGAAAGAGCGTATTAAGAGGGAGAGTCACACTTTAAAGAGGAAGGAGCAATATACTAGTGACAACTACAAGGATAAATAATTGGATGTTAGTGTTATTGCAAACTGATCAAGTGAAAATTAAAATGACGGGCTTCTTTTTACTGCTACAGATAAAATGATTAGTAGATTCTAGATTCAATTTGTTAATATCATTTGTCTTCATAAGAAGGTATTTTCCACTTATGAAAAATATATTAGTGACAATATTTATATGAAAAACAATGTTTTGTGCAAGCCAATTGGTTCTACTATTATGATGCTGTGACTAGAATATTAAATGATGCTAATCATGTAAATATCACCTAAAGATTGAGTGCTCTAGTGAAATGGGACTCAGATTCTCAGCAAATGTTGAAATCCTTAAAATTTGCGAGGTTCTGTGATCATAATGAAAGCTAAGACAGTTTATGGACTTATCTATTACAATATGCAACTTCAGGTTGCACTGCTCCAAAACACCTGCCTCTGTTGAACCATTATAATTTTGGAAAGGAGAAAAATGTTACATGTTGGATGCATGTTAAAGTTCTAGAATAAAATAGGGCAATGGGTAATGGGAAAACATTTGAACATAACCAAGTGAATCAATCTCAAGTTAAACTCTCACAATTTCTATGTGGCATCTACTTCACTTAATAAGTATTATTAGTTGTAATGTATGGCAAAATTATAAATAATACTACCTTTTATGCATTTAATTTATTAAAGGTACCTATGTAAGCAAATTTTGATTTAGATGCACTATAACTTTATCATTAAGATTAAATTCCATGTACCTACAATTCATATCAACAAAAAGCTTGTAATTTTCATAAATTAATAAGCAATTTTCTATGAACAGTCCATATAAATCAATTAGATGTTGTATGAATGATTAGACAAAGGCACTAGGCCTCAACTCCATAGGAAGATCAACAAAATATAGAGTTTTCGAGTTAATCTCCTGTGACAATCTCAAATGGACTCATACTAATAACCTATTGGAAGATGAAATATATGCACTCAACCATCAAAAATCCCAAATAGCACTCAAATGCATGATTTATGCAACATAACTCTCAAACTCATATTCAAGTTTACCTATTTGTTATTGGATAATAAACATACAAAAATTTTAAGTTGTGCTCCAATTTTAGAAATATTGTTTACGGTAATCCATGTATTTTAGCACTTCATTAAATTATAGTTAAACAATATGAAATTTTATATTTAGGTGTTCTTATAGCATGATGTAGCATGTGTCATTTTTGAAAAAAATGATTTACACTGAAAATAGAATCATTCTTTCTTAGTCTTCATGATAAACATAATAAAATGTTTATATCAACATACCTCCAAGTTTAAAATTGTTAAAGATTTATAGAACTCGAAGTTAACTTCTTTACCTTCAGTGGAATAAAAGTTCTACATTGTGATACAATGTGTTCTAAACCTAGATAATTATTGCCATGATTTTACTTCTATCTCTACCAAACCATCCAAACACTCCTAGCATACGGATTTAAAATTATAAAAACCTCTCAAATGATGAATCAAAAGCACTAGAGATAGTACCATTACATAAATAATTATCTATAATCATTTAACCTTAGTTTAGAAATGTGAATTACTATTTAAGAATTGGTAAATACCCTTAACCTGCGTTATAGAATAAAAAACTCTACTCAAAGCTTATTGATTACCTTCTATCTTGGACTTTTCTTTCATCATTACCAAGAAAGGCTGAAATAGTACTTCAATCTTAAAAATAAACTTATGTTGCGGCATTATAGTAGGCTTCGATTATTTCATAAATTCAAAGTTAATTAGTTGAATTTTCCAAAAATAAAAAATAAAACTAAGACAAAACATGGCTCATTCAACAAAGAACCTTGAGTATTACATCTCTAAGGCTTCTAAAGAAGCTATGAGCAAATATAATGTAGCCCATGACCGATACCCCCAGATGTACCGAACAAATATGCACTCATGAACAATCCCCTCGTTGCCTTACTCAACATATATGCTAGATGTCGTTACCAATTTTAAAATATCATTAGAGATCTTCTGTTCAGTCAATATTATATTTTCCTTGGTCACTGACACACTGGAAATATGCTTCTATGGGCTCCAAGTCAATACTAAGCAACTAACCAAATTGTCATGCTACATGTTCGGGAAAGTACCACCCAACATGCCGCTACTTTATGAATGACACTCCAACTTCTCAAAAGTTAATCCCTGAAATACACAACACTCATACTCATAATCATATCGGATAGCCATATCAATGTCATATAGGTTGAAATATTACTGATTTAGTAAAAATAAGACCTAAAAAGGTAGCATGAGAAATGAGGAGTCATATTTTTTGTGTGTATCTCTCAAGGAGGTTTAAGGCATAAGCCTCAAAATACAACAAAAAACCATTATCCCACTAAGTGAGGCCGACTACAAGAATCCATTTTTCCCTATCCTAGCGTCATAGCATCATTTAATCCTAATAAATTAAGATCATTTTTAATTTCATGACCAAGTCTTTTTAGGATTACCCCTACCTTTCTTAACATAAATTAAATCTAAAACATTTACTCTCCTAACTGGGTCATCAAATGGCCGACATTTAATGTGACGAAAACATCTACAGGTGACTCTCTAATCTAGCTTGCCACAAAAGTTACTCCAACCCTTTCACGGATATATTCGTTTCGCATTTGGTCTCTAAGTATAAAGTCACTCATCCACCTAAGCATTCTCATCTCAGCAACACTTAATTTAATTTTATGATTCTCTTTTACCATCTAACATTATGTACCATAAAGTATTGTAGGTCTCGCCACCATCTTATAAAATCTTCCTTTAAATTTAAGTGCTACTTTTCTATCACACAATAGGCCCAATGAATTCTTATACTTCAACCATCCAACTTGAATTCTACTAATAACAACCCCATCTATATCACCATCACTTCAAACAATAGACTCGATATATCAAAAATATTCACTTCTTTAAATGACTTGATCACCCATTATTACAACCCTGCGAGCTACAACAATAACAACAAAGCCTTAATCACACTACGTGGGGTCAGCTACATGAATCCTCTTTCTCCATTGCGTCCTATTTAGTGTCATATTTTCATTTAATTCTAAGAAATTAAAATCATTCTTTATACAATAAGCCCAAGTCTTCGTAGGTCTACCTCTACCTTTCTTAACATAAGTTGAACTAAAATATCTACTCTCCTAATCAGATCATCAGATGATCGATGTTTAATGTGACTAAACCATATAAGACGACTCTCTCTAATTTTATCTGTCACTGGTGCTACACCAACCTTGCTACTAGAGCTAGTACTACTAAAATTACATTCCATGTAATAAGTTTTAGATCCACTCAAGAGAAAGTCTTAGGCTCTAAAGTTGACCTCCATGATTCATTTTTTTCCTGAACTTTCTCTCTCTAGTCTTATCCAAAAGATGAATAAGCATAAGCCTCAAAATAAGAAATAAATTATAAAATTAAAAATAACTTTTAAATATGACATAAATGATAGATATAATGAATTAGACTATTATAATAATAACATAAATCACATAACTTAATTTTAAATATTAATATAAATTAATTTTGAAATAAAATTCAAAATAAACATTTAAAATTTAATTATACCATAAGGATTACCATCTATAGCATTTTTATTCTCGCTTTCATCATCTTCAAAAAAATCATATACAACCATTTTATTATCATTTGAATTTGCCTTGTTAGCAACTTTCATATCTCCTTTAAGAATTACACTTTTCTTCTTACTCCCAAATTAAAAAACAAATATAATTTAAAACTAAATAATAAATTAAAAACTCAATCAACTAAATATATTTCTATTTTTTGAAATTTTTGAGGTATTATATTAAATAAATTAGATATAAGTATAATATAATCTAATTTAATTTTTTTTTACATAGACACTACCTCAAATGTCTGAAGGCATGAAGCCCTGAGGTAGGCTTCTCAAATAAAAAAGCATAAGCCACATTGGTGACAATGAGTCTTGAGTCTTGAGCCTTGAGACAACTTTTTGCGCCTCTATATGAGAGACTTGAGCCTTGAGACAACTTTTTGCGCCTCTATATGAGGCGCCTCTAAGCATATGCTTAGAACGTCTTTTTAAACAAGGTTGAAAAATAAATATAAACAACTTCTTGGCTTTGTGAAAGTTCATCAATCTCATTCCTATATACTCAAATATGGCTGGCCTACTAATGACGTACATGACGCTCATTTCACCTTTAGAACGTCAATATTACTACTCTTTCACAGTACAACGATACTAGCTATTGACAATAACAAATATGTAATGGTAGACATACCTATATCTTATGCTCTTTCCATCGATGCCACTTGGGTAAGATATATGCAATATGGGCTTACCAATATGAAACTGCTCCTAACATTACGCCTACAGCAGATGCAGACATCTAGCCATATTCACTAAATTTGATTAGTATCCTCTTTCATCTTATTGTACAAATTACTTAGGACTACTGCTCCAATGAACTGGTGAAAGAACGCCCCCAAAATTCTACATAAGCAACAAATAATGGAGATAAATCTATGAATTAGAAGTATAGGACATGAGAAAGGAACCCAAATATCTACAAAACACAGGCAAATCTACATAGAACTATTGTACATTCATGTATCCAAATTTTTGCTCGTCTGCCCCATCCCAAAAGTCAATAACACATTGGATCGTTTAGGAGGTGGTACATTTGGGATTGGGAGATCGCTTAGTATATCATCATAGCAAGGAAGCCATGACTTCCATCTCTTATTTAGGCCAACTAAAATAAAACTTACCAATGCAAGACCAACGAGATAAATTCCTAATATCATCATCACAACCTAAATTGATAGTCATTTCCTCTAAAGGTAAGCAAAAAGTGTTAGTTTGAGATAACCAATGCTTAATCAATGCTCTTAGAAGATAATAATCTAGCATGATGTACTTTAAGTACCTGATGCACTCTAATTCTACCTCTCTCAGACATTCTATGAAATGTAGGCAGCTAATTTAGCAATCTTTTGTCATTTTTTCTTTTCTTCCTTTTTTTTAAACCATTCTTTTGCCATAAACATAAATGAAATGGCCTATAAAATAATGCCTAGCACAAAAAAGTTATGGTATTTGGGAAATGATAGTATTATAAAGATAGGTTATAAAAAAATTTTATATGCATAATTTATCGAGATGTGCAACTCCATGCAGAGGCAGAACTAGGCGCATTTTTTTTTTTTTTGGTGGGGTGGGGGGTGGTTGGGGGAAGAGGGGGACTAATTATAAAATTAAATTAATTTAAAATTAATAAAGTGAATAGTAATATTTATGATTCTTCAATTTCATGGCATAATACTCTAATAAAAAACAACTAAAGTAACATTTATAAAATATATCTAGAATAATTTTAATGAATATGTTTTAAAAATACTACATGGCAATAGTGCTTTTTGTGCGTGAAATTATACACCATCTATTTCTTGAAGATTGATCAATTGTTAAACTTTCATAAAAAATCAAATTAGATCACCATGATGTTCATTGACTATAGATTAACAACAATAATCCTGGACTTGCATTTGGAGATAAATTACAAAATCTAATTGTGTGGATAATGAACATTTTTCATATGCAAGAATCTTGTGAAAATAAAAATGGTTGACATTACAAACCATTTTTAAACACTCCTACTACATAAAGTTAAATATAAATTTTCTTCAATATCATCCATTTTCATGTCATGATTTTTTCGACATGTTTTACGCTGACTGTCGACAATTTAACGCAACCGTCCATTTTCATGTCAAATTCACATAGTAATGATTGATCTTCATAAAATAAAAAAAATAAATAACTAAAATTCTTGCATCATTCTTGTGAAAATGAAAGCTACAATTCCCAATTAAGACATTAAATTTCAATGACAATGAGTGCGAAACGAGCACACATGATGCTTGAGGAAACAATGGATTTCAGATTCAAATGACATTATTGCATGACAACTAAAAACCAGGACCTTCAAAATCATTTCCTTCACTTATTTGTGGCAATGATTAAAGTAGGAGACTTCTATTACTGTGTCCAGAAGGTAAACTTCTTCAAGCATGAAACAAACTCTTTGTTAAAAGGAAAATTTCAAAAGGCCAAATCAAATAATGGCGTCAGGTAAGCAATGCAAGCAAACATCTAATATTGCTTGAAAGACACTTATTCTTTAAAAACAGGAGCAGCTGCTGCTTAATATTAACTTGAATGAGATCTGGCAGGATATATTCAAGCATAAAGAAATACCGAGTGTCATGACTCTCAAGTATTATTCATACATAACATGCTAGTGAAATTGTTTATTAAGATGTGTATAAGATGCCAACAAGTTTAATTAAAATAAAGAAACAAAGCATAGTACATGTCACCTGCAAGGCCTTTCCATACAACTGGCGCTTTCTCAGATTCAGTACTGCAAGTGAAATTTCACCTCGTCCCAAACAGTTACCTACTTCAACCCACTTATCAAGGGCATTGTTTAAAGAAGGGCGAGGAGAATCCATTATAACCTGGAAAAGTGGGGAACTGTGACCCTTCTTGCCAAGATGTTTTTCACCATAATCAGCTTCATTGTCAAACAAACCAGGTGCAAGCTCAGCAGATTCATCAACATTTTCACTGGATTTATCACCTCCAGATTCTGATTCATCTTCCTTATTCAAAAGTTCCTCAGGCATGTCGGATTTTGGAGGCACATCAAGGTCAGAAAACCCATCCTCCAAGTCATCATCCTTGTCACTATAATCAGCTCGAACCTGACAAGAAAGGCTCCTGCCCACAATTAAAGCCACTGGAGGGTGAAATACTCCAGGAGAAATGGGCCTTTTCGAATGGAAACCTCTATTACTATGATGTTCTTTTGAATGTTGGTGTTGCCCATTTTCCAAATTACTATATGCCTCGCACTTAGCATAATAAGTGTGACTTGAGGGAATGCAACAAAGTTGTTTCCTGGTGAAAAAAGAAAAAATAAGAAACGTCCAAAGAAAAACCAACCACAGATGTCTAATGATTGTAAGAACAGGAAAAAAATAACCTAACACTGATTTCAATCATGAGTTCAGATTCTAAAAAGTTTACCAATGGTGGTTATGTTCTTGGTTATTTATATATACATGGAATTTTATGTCAACACCTTAAGTACTGTTTGTTCTCTCATATTTTTTCTCAAGGGCTGCATCTTAAGAGAATTACCACACAAGAATGAAACCATGCAAGCATATGAGACTACTTAGATGATCTGTTAAAGTTTTGTCATTCAAGGTCCGGCAAAACAACATGCAGCGACGGGGATAAAGGCATTTCTATTACATGACTTAATCTACACCGTACAAAGAAACCTATAAGGCGCCAAATCAGCAATCTTATAATGGCAATCCTTATTCATATTATTATCATTTAATCATGTTTTAATTTGGCATAAAGATTATTACTTAATTAGTAATCAAATAAAATCCATTATTCAATTTTCTAAAAAGACGCTAAATTTTGGGCTCTTACATCCAAAGAAAAAATTAAAAAAAAAAAAAGCTTTTCTCTATAAAAAAGTAATCATCATCATCATTAGCCGAATCCCAACTTTCAAGGTTAGCCTATTAAATTTGTCTATATTCACTCTTTTTAAGTGTACCTAAGGTGTAAATTATAATGAATGTAAGACTTTAGTACAACTTCTTAACATGGTAACTTTAGTCTTCGTCTTTGGTTTTATATTCCTCTCATTATTTTTATCCACTTGAGTCATTAAATGACCAGACTACCTATTGTACACTTTTTCCTTCCTTTTCTCCAAAAGTGATGCTCTCATCCTCTCTCATAAAATCATTTCTCAAACTCTCATTATAGTTTTATCATGCATCCATCTTAACTGTTTCATTATACTGCACTAAACTTAGTTTTTCATTTTCTAGCATTCTAATTCATACAACATAATTAGTGAAATGCATTTTCATGGAGCTTGTAATTTTCCAATATTTTTTCCATCATAGTACACGATGGTACTTCTCTTATTTAAAAGCCGAACTTTAACTAAATAAATTAAGTCACCATCTATAATCTCATTATTTTGTTTAATTAATCCAATGGTGCTTGTAACTACCAAACCTGAGTATCATTTGGTCTTCTAGCACTATTTACTTCTAAATATCAGTTTCATAACCACTAAAATGAATACATGGTATCCGTATTACTAATCCTAAGCACATATATTGTAAAATTTTCCTCCATTGTTATGACTTTTCACTTCACAAATGTCTCACTATTAGAACAATATCATCGATAAATAGATTAGCATACACCAAAACACTCATTGTGATTACCTTTCATAACCATATCTGAACTCGATCTAAAAATCGAAGAGTGTTGTGTTGTTCATTGATGCGAGTTAACTAAGACTTGAAACTTCTTTTGGGGCAGTTGCAGTTGTAGCTGCGCTGTCCCAGGAAGCTGCTGCGGGAAGTTGGTACATTTTTGTTGCAGCTATGTGAAAGAAGCTGTGGGACAGTTGTTTCTAGAAAAATGACCATCCTGCCCCTGTTTATTAAAATTGTTTAAAACAGAACTGTGAGAGCTACATTTTTTTATAATTTCGAAACAGAAATTCATTTCAACAGAACAAAAGTTCAGAACAGAACAAAAGTTCAGATACACAACTCACTTAACAGTAAGTAACCAAAGTAGTAAAAGAAAAAAAATTAATAAAAATACAAGCAAAATGAAAAATTAATAATGTATAATTTTATATAATTTCTTTCTAATTATAATAATACCTATTATTTTGTATAAAATAAAAAAATGTATATTTTTTATGTAACTTGTGTAAGCTACATATTTTAAAATATATATTTTAAAATACAATATATTTTTAAGAAAAGTAAATTAAATGTTATTTCTCTCATATTTCTATATCATATTATAAAATATATACATAACTATTAATTAAAAATATTAACATTACATTCTAAGTAAAACAACTTAAATACTATAAAATGACTTAATTTATTTATCCCTGAGTTCACCCTTCGCTTACTATATTAAAATTACATTATAAGTAAAACAGCTTATAATTATTTCTGTCGTCCCTTCCTCCTTCACTTGCAGGTGCACCGACGTAGCCAGTTCGCCCTTCTTCTCTGCACTTCTCGAAGCATTTCGGAAGCATTTGGATCAATAGCAATCTTTGTTGTCCTTTTCTTCTTCCTCACCTCGCCTCGCCTCCGCCTCCGCCTCACTCACTTTCCCTCTCTCGTTCACCAGAGAAAACATTTTGCTTGATCACGAGAGACGGGAGAGCACGGGGTAAAAGAGGGAAAAGCCGATCGATAATGTGGGCAGCAGGGTCGATCCTGCGGCCCGCGTTCTACCTATTTTAGTGGCCGCGAACGCGTCATCCAAAAAGAAAATTTTTTATCAGCTTCGCAATTTGGGGCCACGCCGCACGAAATACGCATCCCCAAACGAAGCCTTAACTTTCTTTTCTTTTTTGCAAATCTTCCAGCCTACTTAGAAACGTCATATGGCAAAATGATATTCACTTTTTTACCATTCTTTAGTTTATTTAAATAAAAATTTATAACTCCTCACTTTACCACCAAGAAGCATAACCTTTAAGCGAAAGAACAGCCAATTGGCAGCATAAAAACTTGTGATCAATCCTAGCTCCCTAGAACATACAATATTTGTCGCATTGAAGGAATTGTCACACATCTGTAATTAATGATAATTCCATATTATATCCATTTGAAAGAAAATTAAAGTAAAGACGGCAAACTTCAAAATAAAATGAAAAACACAGTGACAGATATCATTACTAAAATAACAGGCTCAAACATCATAGTTCAGAGCCACAGAAACGACAAAAGAAGACAAAAAAAAGTTCCTTCTAGCCAGAGATCAATATGTTATTGATTTCATTGCATTTTGAGAATGAATCAAAAAGTGTTTAAGGAAAATGGGTATTCACCTAATTGGATTTGAAGCTCGGCAAAGCGCCCTCATGGATGTCGATAGTACAATCCAATTGAGAGAAGGCAGGACCCAGAGTATTTACAAAAGGCTTCTCGAGACCCCTGACGTCACTACGTCTTACAGGTGGGGGGCTGGTGCAGCGGTGCTTTCATCCTGAAACCCTAAACTCTCGCGGGAAAAGGAGCGGCTTTAAATGCCCGATTTTTTATCTCAGCCAATCTCACGGCCGGAACAAAGGAAAAATAAATAGTATGTAATCAGTGACTCTTTGATTTGTACTCTTTGAAAAATAAATGTTTTGTAATTATCTTTAAATAAATGATAATTCTGCTACTGTATAACAATGTTATTTATAATAAAATTATCATAATAATATATTTAATATTTAAAAAATAAAAGATTATTTTAGAATAAAATAATAAATGCACATTACTTAACACTGAGTATCAAGATTGTTAAAAAAAAAAACTATTTAAATTACATTTAAAAATATGAAAATATAAATTTAAATTGCGGATGGTGGATGTCACGAACTACGACGTCCTCCAGGGATATGATTCATCTCTGATCACTATTGCAATAGAATATGTCGAATTGTTTACCCACCAAAAAAAGTCACATTTCTCGGTGATACTCTGCGGGCACCTGTAGAACTGTCTCCCGTAGTTATATACCCAGTGTGGTGTCATTAGAGAAATCTGTAATCCGCAATGGCAGAGGGATCGTCTAGAGGTCCATGAAATCCTAGAGCCCATCTTTTCTGAAAGATTCAAGACAGAACTCATTAGTCATGACAAAAGATGAAATTCATAAAAAGTATACAAAAAATGAAAATAAACTGAAATTGTATTAAAAAAACAAGCATAAGATGATAAAAAAAGTAATTCAAAAATGGGTGTGATGTTTCGAGAACTCACTACACCAACCAACAAATATGTCACTACAAGAAGATAGTGAACATTTTTAAAAAATGGGTTCTTTGTTGCTTTTAACTCACGTAAAACAACATCCTGTGTGTCACATTTGCATATCACCATGAGGGACCATCTAGAAGGTCCGCATAAACCGCTGCACCAAAAAGAAGAGAGGAACTTGGTTGCCTTTATTAAGATTTCACATGTGACACTAAACAACAACGACCAATAGATCATCCAGAAGAACATAAGGTCAAATGTCTCATCATGGACCTCTCACACCAAAAAAAAACAAATGGAATGTAAATGGAAAAAAAAACAATAATAAACACCGTGAAATTTATAAAATCAAAAATATCAAATTTACAAGTGACATAAAATAAACATAGACTTTATAAAATAAATAAGAGTCATTCAATCAACATCCAACAATAGTGTCCGTAATCAGCTCTCTCAATCTAACCATTTATGCGATACCTTTATTATCCTATGTGTAATCTTCCTCTGATTCCACCTCTGGTTGTGGTATAGATTGTCCTACGTGATATTCAAAAACTTTCAGCGAGACCTGCAAGTGGTCATCTTTAGTCATGTTGAAGTCAACATCAGTATGGGAATGATGTCATCTAATATAGTTGTGGAGTGTCATTATAGCCACAACAATATGCCCCTGTTTCGAAAATGGATACGTTGACATATCAGGCAATATAACTCATTTCTTTTTTCACACTCCAAACGTTCATTCAATTATGATGTATAAGGAGGAGTGTCTTTGGTTAAACATTTCCTTCCTGCCTCGAGCAACACCACTATATCTTTCAAAATTAGGAATGTGATATTTTGTATAAGGAAATGGCGTCAAATACCCCCCTCTTTAAGGATATCCATCATCACCAAGTAATATTGACATGTCCCAAATACAATACAACAACAATGACAACAAAGCCTTAATCCCACTACGTGGGGTTAGCTACATGATTCCTTTTTCTCCATTGCATCCTATTTAGTATCATATTTTCATTTAGTTCTAATAAATTAAGATTATTTTTTATACAAAAAGCCCAAATCTTCCTATGTCTACCTCAGCCTTTCTTAACATAAGTTGAATCTAAAACATCTACTTTCCCAATCGGATCATCAGATGGTCGATGTTTAATGTGACCAAACCATCTAATACAACTTTCTCTAATTTCTCTAATCACAGGAGCTACACCAACCCTATCACGGATATATTCATTTTGCATTTTGTCTCTAAGTATAAAGCCACTCATCCACCTAATCACTCATCTCGGCAACACTTAACTTAGTATTATGCTTCTCTTTTAAATGTCAACATTTGGCGCCATAAAGCATTACATGTTTCACCACCATCTTATAAAATTTTTCTTTCAGTCTAAGCGATAATTTTCCATCACACAATAAGCATGATACATTCCTCCACTTCAACCATCAATAACAGCTCTAGTATGCATGTTTTTAATAACTTGAATATAAATCATATCAACACCTTTTTGTTCTAGCACAAGTAAAAGCTCTCTATATTTCTCCATCAAACCTCTCAATAAATCTATAACTTCCTTGGTAGACTTGCCCAACACAAATCCAAACTGATTTTGAGAAATATTTCTATCACGCCTTAACCTATGTTCAATTACTCAGCTCTAGTATGCATATCTTTAATAACTTGAATATAAATCATCTTATCCACAAAAAGGATATCATCAACAAAAAGCATACGCTAAGGTACATGCTCTTGTAGATGCTTGTAAATTTCCAGTAAGACCATCCATAGCTAAAATAAAAAGATATGGGCTTAAAGCCGATCCCTGATGAAATCCAACATAAATAGGAAATATTTGGTCAATCCTCCTTTAGTTCGAACACAAGTAACACATCTAGTATACATATCTTTAATGACTTGAATAAAAATCATATCAACGCATTTCCTCTCAAGAACTCTCCAAAGGACATCTCTTGGAACCTTATCATAAGCTTTTTTTAAATCAATAAAAATCAAAATTAGATTAGCCATATTATCTCTGAACTTCTTCATCAAACTTCTTAATAAAGGTATAGCTTCCATAGTAGACCTTCCTGGTATAATTCCAAATTGGTTATGAGAAATTTTTGTAATACGTCTTAACCTATGTTCAATTACCCTCTCCCATAATTTTAAAGTATGATACATCAACTTAATTCCTCTATAATTTGCACACTCTTGTGCATCCCCTTTACTCTTAAAAATGGGGACCAAAATGCTCTTCCTCCACTCTTCAGGCTTTTTTTAGTTTTTAAAATAATACTAAAGAGTTTAGTAAGCCAAAAACTCTCAAATCTCCTAAACATTTCCATACTTTAATTGGGATATCATCAGGTCATACAAACTTTCCACCATTAATTTTCTTTAAAGCCTCCTCAACTTCTTTTTACTAATGTGATGGTAAAAATGAAATATTTTATTATTGTTAATGATATTAAGATCACTAAGGTGGATGATATTTTCAAAAACTTCATCAAATAGTTTATCAAAATAACTCACCCACCGATGTTGAATGTCTTTTTCTAAGAAAAGCATTTTTTTTTCTTTTCATCTTTAATACACTTTACTTGAGTTAAATCTTTGCTTTTTTTTTCTCTTTATTTGGCTAATTTATACATTATTTTTCACCCTTCTTAGTATCTAATCTATTATAAAATTCATTAAAAGTAGAATTTTTAGTGTCACATATTGTTCTTTTAGACTCTCAGCTGGTCGTTGGATATTTTTCCTAGTTCTCCAAGCTTTTACATTTAAACCAATCTTTATAACATAACTTCTTAGATTTTATCTTTTCTTGCACATTATTATTCTACCACAAACTATTTTTATTTAAAGAAACTTTTTCTTACGATTCTCCAAGTACATCTTTTGCTACTTGTTTAATAGTGTCTGTTTCTTACATATCATTTACTTCATCATGAACATCCCAAATTTTGAAATCTTGAATTTATTCATAAAAATAATTTTATTTGTGTCTTTTAGGTTCCTTCATCTAATTCTATGAAGATGAGTTCCAACATTCTTTATTTTACAACTCTTTATCTTAAAATCAAGAACTAATAAACGATGTTGGGTACTTAAATCCTCACTACTTAAATCCTCCCTCACTTAGAATGACCTTACAATCTTTATAATCTCGACGATGTCTTCTTATCATAAGAAAATAATCAATTTGTGTTTTATTTGATCCTTTTTTATGAATAATAAGATGCTCATCTCTTTTTTTGAATAAAGTATTACTAATAACAAAATCATATGCTAAAGCAAAATCTAAAATAGTTTTACCTTCTTCATTAGTCACACTAAAACCGTAGCCATGATGTATATTTCTAAAATTTTCTACCACTCTATCGACATGTCATTTAAATCTTCTCCAATAAAAATTCTTTCTTCAAGAGATCATTTGTATATCATTTGTATTAAATCTTCTAAGCCATTCCAGAATTTATCTTTAGACCCTATATCTGAACCTACTTTAGGAGCATACGCACTTATAATATTAAAAATCTTAGTATCAATGATAATCTTAAAGGTTATAATTTTATCTCCAACTCTACTAATTCTTAAAACAGTATCTTTTAAAATCTTATATATAGTTACACCTACACCATTTCTAGTATGACTCTTACCAGAATACCAAAGCTCAAAACCTAAGTTATCAATCTCCTTAGTCATTTCTCCAACCCATTTATTTTATTGAATACATAAGCTATTAATCTTTTTAGGAATTGTAATATCAACTAGTTCAATTAATTTACCTTGAGAGTACCTATATTACAAGATCCTATCCTAATATTAATTTTATTAGTTTTATGGACAAACTTCCTTACCTGCATTCATCTGTAATGTGGACCCTTGCTTATTTGACACTACACTCAGGTGTTGGTGTAGCAGCCCTTGCACATTTTTTACAACAACAATTCAAATCCAAATCACATTGATAACTATGGGTTGGCTCCTATAAAGCGCTTGGTTTAACGTCGTCAGCTCGATATAACCATTGTCTTACTTAGGTCTGACCCAACATTAGGATCTCTTCAAATGCAGGACTCTCTCCACTCATGTAAGCTTTTAATCAGTGTCCATTTACCTTAATCACTCTCCCATTTTTTGGATATTCAATATCAATAGCTTCATATGGATATGCTCTTACCATAATAAATGATCCTGACCATATGGATTTTAGTTTTCCTGGAAATAATTTCAATCTCAAATTATAAAGCAATACTTCTTGCCTCGGCTCAAAATGCTTTTTCAGAATTTTATAATC